CGTGATCCTCGGCGACTTTAACGCCCATCACGCCGAATGGCTCGGTTCACGTTTAACCGATCATGCGGGGAGATCTGTTCATGATTTTGCCTTGTCATATGGTCTGACACAACTGGTTACTTCGCCTACGCGGACTCCAGATGTGGAGGATCATGCACCTTCCCTGTTGGACCTTCTGCTGACCTCTCACCCGGACGGATATCAGATTTCCGTCGACGCCCCTTTAGGCTCCTCGGACCATTGTCTTGTCCGGAGTGTGGTGCCACTCACGCTGAAATCGCGGTTGCATTCTGCAGGCTGCCGCCGTGTTTGGCACTATAGGTCAGCCGATTGGGATGGGATGCGGTCTTTCTTTGCATCCTACCCTTGGGGGCGGGTTTGCTTCTCGCCGGACGATCCCAACGTTGTTGCGGATTCTGTCGCTGATGTGGTACTTCAGGGTATGGAACTTTTTATTCCTTCCTCTGTGGTGCCCATTGGAGGCAAATCTCAGCCATGGTTTGGTCGCTCCTGTAAAATAGCATCATGCTATAAGCAGGAGTGCTACCAGGCCTGGGCTGACGCATCAGCGTCCAGGGATGTAAACACCAGCGCTCTAAAAAAGAAGTATAATTCCGCCTCTAGGTCCTTCAAAAGAGTCATTGCCAAGGCAAAGTCAGAGCACATAGGCAGAATTGGCGAGAAACTAGTTCGTCTTCCTTCTGGAACCCGTACATTCTGGTCTCTCGCCAAGGCTGTCCAGGGGAATTTCTGTCAGCCATCTCTTCCATCTCTGCACAGGGAGGACGACTCACTGGCCCACACCGCAAAGGAGAAAGCCGATCTTCTAGGCTCTTTCTTTGCGTCTAACTCGACTCTCGATGACGGGGGGAGTACGCCGCCGACCATCCCGCGGTGTGAGTGCTCCATGCCGGAAGTGCAGTTCACTCAGCGCTCGGTTCGCAAAGCACTCCTCTCCCTGGACATCCACAAGTCGAGTGGGCCTGACGGAATCCCCCCAATTGTGCTGAGGACGTGTGCTCCAGAGTTGGCACCGGTTTTAACGCGTTTTTTCCGGTACTCCTACTCCCTAGGCGTAGTCCCAAAATCATGGAAGACGGCTTTCGTCCACCCGATCCCTAAAAAAGGCGACCGCTCAGACCCGTCCAACTACCGGCCCATCGCCATCACCTCCTTGTTCTCCAAAACAATGGAGTCCATTGTAAACTGCCAGCTCATGAGGTACCTTGAGGATCACCAGCTGATTAGTGACCGCCAATACGGTTTTCGCCGTGGTAGGTCAGCTGGTGATCTTCTGGTCTACCTAACTCACAGATGGGCGGAGGCAGTAGAGTCCAAGGGGGAGGCATTGGCCGTTAGTTTGGACATTGCGAAGGCCTTCGATCGGGTTTGGCACAAAGCGCTTCTTTCGAAGCTCCCTTCCTATGGGCTTCCCGAGAAATTGTGCGATTGGATCACCAGTTTTCTTGCAGATCGGAGCATCAAGGTCGTTGTAGACGGTGCAAGCTCCGATTGCAAGCCTATTAATGCTGGTGTTCCACAGGGCTGCGTGCTATCGCCAACGCTGTTTCTTCTGCATATCAATGATATGTTGCAGACCCGTAACATTCATTGCTATGCAGATGACAGCACTGGTGATGCTCTTTACACCGGCCGAGCCAATATTTCTCGGGAAAACGTCTCCGAGTGCCGGGACAAACTTGTGTCTGAAGTCGAGTCTCTGCTGGACAGAGTCTCGGATTGGGGGCGACTAAATCTAGTCCAGTTTAACCCCCAGAAGACACAAGTTTGCGCGTTAACCGCTAAAAAGTACCCCTTTGTCGTATCGCCTCAGTTTCAAGGCACTCCCCTTGTTGCCTCAGCCAGTATCGGAATCCTCGGCGTCGACATATCGAGTGACGTGCAGTTTCGTGGTCACTTGGAAGGGAAGGCCAAATTGGCCTCTAAAAAGCTTGGCGTGCTCAGCAGAGCGGGACAGTATTTCATGCCGGCACACCGCCTGCAACTATACAAGGCGCAGGTTCGGCCGCACATGGAATACTGTTCCCATCTCTGGGCTGGGGCTCCCCAGTACCAGCTCCTTCCACTTGACCACATCCAGCGCAGAGCGGCTCGAATCGTCGACGACCGAGTGCTTTCCGATCGGCTCGATTCTCTGGCACTGCGAAGAGATGTTGCATCCCTTTGCATTTTCTTTCGCATATACCATGGAGAGTGCTCTGAGGAATTGTTCGGATTAATCCCAGCCGCCAAATTTCGTGAACGCACTACGCGGCAAACGTCCCGATACCATCCACACCATCTGGATGCTTGGCGGTCCACCACTGTACGTTTCAAAAGGAGTTTTCTTCCGCGTACAACCTCTCTGTGGAATAATTTACCACCAGCGATTTTTCCGGACCGATACGACCTGGGGACCTTCAAGAAGAGAGCTTACTCCTTTCTAAAGGGCCGGCAACGCGTCTGCAATTCCCCTGGTGTTGCAGTTGATCATGGGCGGCGGTAGTCACTTAACATCAGGTGAGCCACATGCTCGTTTGCCCCCTCTTCTATAAAAAAAAAAAAAAAAAAAAATATTAACCATATTGAGTAAAATTATCTTAACTAATCCATTCTTAACAATCCACAATTTCATAACTTACCGATTTATATTAAAGTACCTGAATGACCGAGCTTTTCTCGGTATTTTATTTTTTTTTTTTTTTGGAAATCGTGTGTTTTGGAAATTACATACTGATGAAACATGAATAATTTTTGATCTTATTGACATAACAGAAAAAATTTAACTAGTTATTTGAATAAAAATACTAAAAAAGGGCTCGAAATAATAGATTTTCTCACTAAAGAAGTGAACTTGAAAAAAAAAAGGAAAAAATCGAACCGAAGACAGGACGCGAATCAGGGCACTACGATTTTGCGACGGCCCGACATCCACTCGAGCTATTACGATCATTAATAAAGTCAAAATTTACCTTCTTATATTGTAGCAGTTTTTCATTGCCTAAAAACACGGACTAAACGACATTTTCTGAAAATGAATCCTAGCTAGAATTAGATGAAATTTAGTGTCCAGGGGGTTTTGGAGGCAATATATCGGATATTGCCTCCAAAACCCCCTGGACACTAAATTTTATGAAAATCGTTGGAGCCGTTTCCAACGGATTGTTGTTCGATTATATTACTTTATCTATAATAGAATGAAGTAGATAGATTTTACAAAGCAATTCTGCTCGCAATTTTCTGAAGATTTCTGTATTTTTTTTAATTATTTTACCGTGTAGTGGCGGTTAAAGAATATCCACTACCCCATGTCATCTCATAGATGTCGTAAGAGATGACAGAGGAAAATATATCAGGAGATGGCCAGTAGCGTCTTCTCTATAACGATTAAAAATAAAAAACTGCGGTTGCCAACTCGCTTGTCAAGTGATAACTATGGCAAATATGGGCAAATATTGAGACCATGATGGAGGACTATTTTCAGCAGTGGACTTTAATAGGCTATAACGGTAACGGTATATCAGCTTTTTGTTCCCATAGTCGCCTCTTCGGGCACTTACGAGACGAAATAGTGTAATGGATTGTCTAGCGCTGCCACTACTCAGTCCGTACTCCGCCTTCATTATATAAACTAATTTTTTTTTTCAGAACCGGCGATCTACCATCGCGAGGTCAAATGGAAAACAGTCCGCTTTACATCCACAAAGAGTTTGTAGTAAGAAAAATATTTAATTCATATTTTGAATTTACTTTTTAATTTCCTACTCCGAGTTTGACACGGAAGTAAAATATTTTTTAAAATTTTGTTATTACAATTTAATTAATAACAAACGTAAAAACCATAGAGCAATAAAAGCCACCGGCGGTCTGGAGGGAAATAGCCATAGGAAATAGCAATATACATGTATATATATATATATATATATATATATATATATATATATATATATATAGTTTCTTTGCGATAAAAATTATTTGCGATGGTTAATTCTGCGCACACACAGCGTCTGTCACTATGAAGCTCACACATAATAGTTAAAACAATTAACTAACAATTTCACATACACATAGATACATTATAACAGTATTGCTTGATGACAGTGACAACTCGGATACAGACTCGGATCAGTCGCTCGACCGATCCAAATATATATAAAAGATAACGCACTCTTTTTGTAAATTTGACGTGGTAGATCTCTTTTTACAGCAATAAACTGAAAAATTCGGCATTTTTGTAGGACGTCGATTTAGCCGCGCAACTAAATATAGTCTAGTGAGCAGTGCGGCTGTAACTAGCTTTATTGTACGCACAAGACCGCGTGGACTTATACTTTGCGTCAAAAAAGAGGGGAACGCCTGCGTAATGCGTATGGCTACTGATTTCCGGTCCGCCGCGCCGGTAGCCCGTGTTGCTCTTTGGTAAAAACACTTCATTTGATTTTTAAATATCAGAAATCTACCCCTTTTGTCTAAAACCTATCAATATATATTTTACGACCTGTAATATCGTATGAGCAGGAACAGTTGTTTGCTCTTTGACTAAAATATTACCGTTTTATGCAGCAAATTTTAAAAAGATTAAAGATCTCTTTAAAATATTCTAAAAGAATGTAAGTACTAGAAATTTATTGATGCTTCTAGTATAGAAATTCCGATACGGAACATTAGCGAAAAAGCAGCGTGGGCCTTTCCTTTTGTTGGGAGGAACAAATCCACTCCTAACTTTATATTTTCTTAAGAATTTTTACGTAACTTTTTTTACTACATAAAAAATCTTCAACACGTATAATCTTACCAGCATGGTTTCGGAGTTGTTCTTTTGAATGAATTTGATTAATTCAAATAATCTATTAATAGAATAAATTACTGGACTCTTTATTACTTATATGTATATAAACTATAGAGAGCCATGTAACATATTAATAATTTAATTTAAATACAAATAATATAGCATAAATTAATTGAATCAAACAAGTTACAAACAGTGTAAGCAATTACAGACGGCTGGAGAAGACACCAATGAGTGGGAAGTGACCCGATCGAGGGTACATCTCGGCGCTCTCATCGGAAGTGGTGCTTTCGGTAGGGTGCACCTTGCAGAACTTGATATGCCGGGCGGAGAGACCACCATTGTCGCTGCGAAAATGCTGTCAGGTATATAGAACATGCCGTTGCCGTGTAATGGCGCTTTAAGAATTTCCATCACTAACTTTCGTCCCATGGGTGCTATAAAAATCCTTGATATCCTATTCTTGATTTTTGTTTGTCGAATAACGATGATAAAGGGAGTACACAGTCCATCTGATGGTAAGTGCATGCTGTGCCTATAGGCATCTACATTTATACTGGATTAAGAATGAAAATGTAGATGCGTTTTCACCCCTGAAGGCTAAGGTTGAATGCCTCGTTTCCGGTAAAAGAGGTCTCCGGTTCTCTGCACTCGCCATATGAAACACAGCAGCATTTAGTTGTTATTTTAATCTGATATTGTGTTGAAGCGTGGCTTTAGATGACACCACTTCGTTTACGCCAGGCGTAAAATTACTAGACCGGCGGCCGGCTGGCGCGTTAAAGTGCGAGACGTCTGGTGCTGCGATCGTCGATCAGTTTGCTAAGTGTGACGACTAAGTCACCTTCCTATAATGAGAGTGGTTCATTTTCAGCTGTATACTTTTCCATTTCCAGCGGTATACCATTATTAGCTGATGAAGAAAATAGGAAAGTGCACTGTATTTTACGTCACTCTGATCTTTAAATACTCTTTTGGCTCACGACTACACAAAATACCAAACTGATCTTACGGTTTCCGAAGGATGCTGGTTTTATTTCCCTATTTCGCCTTTTATTAGTTTATTTGGATAAGTTTCATCACTAAAAATTTTTCACATGTCGAATGAAACACAATACTGTACGAAAACCGCCTACGAACATAACATACAGGAAAAATTCTTAATATTGGGATACTGTTAAAAAAATTAAATAAGTTTTACAACCTCTTAGTTGACTCTCCGCCTTTCGAGAGCATCTTCAACAAACGCAATTAATTTTTTTCACGTGTACGATTAGCATTATATAAAGATGTCTAGGAAATGAAAGTAACACCGTCGGTAATGTCCCTAGACGGTCCACACAGATTGCGTTTGCATTAAAGTAATACTAGTTTTTACGGAATTTATCGCGTATATTTAACTTTTTAAATACCCGACGTTTCGAGAGCTTTACAGCACCCATGGTCACGGGAAGAACTGAGATGTTCAACGTCCAGATGTCATAATAAACCGCGGTTACCATAGATTAAAATTTAACTTTTGTTCCGATCTACACAGTATGAACTTATGGTATCATGAAGTCTTGCAGTTGTATGCTTGGGTTGCCCCAGCAGATGGTATCACCCAGCCATCTTCTCTATTGAAATTAGGATGCTTTTTGATTTCAATAGCCTCGCGAATCATCCTTGGAAGGAATCGGTGTTCTTTAGCGAGGATTTGTGGTCTATCAAATCTGATGTAGTGACGGGGGGCGATCCTGTACGTATTCACAGACTGCAGACTTCCCGGAGCATCGATTCTTCACATTCACGCGCTGCAACCTCTCGCGCGCCTCTCACCCCCCGCAGCCCCCGCGCCTTCCCACGCCACTACAGCCCCCGCGCCTGCTCGCTCCACCGCAGCCCCCGTCACTGCCTCCAAGAAACAGGTCCCGCCCCCTGTCTTCCTCAGAGACAAGGCGCAATTTACTAGACTTTCTAAAGTCTTGAAATAATACTAGTTTTTACGGAATTAACTTTTTAAATACCCGACGTTTCGAACGCTTTACAGCACTCATGGTCACGGGCGGGACTGAGATGTTCAACGTCCATATGTCATAGTTAACCGCGGTTACCATAGATTAAAATTTAACTTTTGTTCCGATCTACACAGTATGAACTTATGGTATCATGAAGTCTTGCAGTTGTATGCTCGGGTTGGAATTTAATTTTATTTATTATAGGATCCCCAGCAGATGGTATCACCCAGCCATCTTCTCTATTGAAATTAGGATGCTTTTTGATTTCAATAGCCTCGCGAATCATCCTTGGAAGGAATCGGTGTTCTTTAGCGAGGATTTGTGGTCTATCAAATCTGATGTAGTGACGGGGGGCGATCCTGTACGTATTCACAGACTGCAGACTTACCGGAGCGTCGATTCTTCACATCAGCTATATGTTCTTTAACGCGGGTTTTAATTGATCTTTTAGTTTGTCCTATGTAGGAGAGACCACATTCACAATCAAGCTTGTATACTCCTGCATGTTACAGAGGGACGATACACTTGACTGATGGTAAAAACTGACCAATCTTCTTCGGCGGCTTGAAGTATGTTTTGATGGAAGCGTGCTTCAAGATGTAGCCAATCTTGTCAGTGACTCCTCTAACATATGGCAGTACAGCAGGTACACGCTCGACTGTGGCCGGCTTCACTCTTTCTCTGTGACGTAGGCGCGGGACCCGGAGCTTGTTGTCAAGCAAAACTTGCTTGACGTGTTGGAGCTCGGCAGCCTGGTGTTTACTGTCACAGATCCCTCGTGCTCTCTGAAACAAAGATTTACCCACGGTAGCTAACTGTGAAGGATGGTGGTGAGAATCACCGTTTAAATATCTATCTGTATGGGTCTTTTTTCTATACACAGTATGGCAAACAAATGATAACACCTTGAGCCATACTGTGTATAGAAAAAAGTTCCCGTGACCATGGGTGCTGTAAAGCTCTCGAAACGTCGGATATTTAAAAAGTTAAATATACGCGATAAATTCCGTAAAAACTAGTATTATTTCAATGTGTAGTATTCGCTTAAATATAAGAAATCATTATGCTTTTGCGTTAATTTAACGTTACCATTTTTATTTTAAATTTTCTGTGCCTTTTTCATAACAAAATGTAGCTAGTTCTATGCCAGATTTCAAAATTTATTCAGCCTTTTCATCATGATTTAATGATAAACATTCAAACAGACAAACTTACAGATGAGGATAAACGTATGTATTCATATGTAATCAATATTATTACTATAGTAATATTACTTTGTACCATATCTATTCCGTGTTCTGTGCTTAGCAGCGACAACTGCGTCTTAATAATTTTAATCAAGTTATAATTTCCAATCCCCTTCCCGTGCTTAATTTAATTTGTTCTAATGCAAATCAAGGTGATGCCAATGCCCAGACGAGGCACGTACATATTATATAATTAACTATCATTTAATGTTATATGTTAGCTTTATGAAATTAAGCCTTGAAGAGATCGTCACTAAGCACATTTGTCATCCCCAGACAACGCCTCAGAGGAAGAAATGCAAGATTTCCTCCGCGAAATACAAATGCTGAAGCACGTCGGCTACCATAGAAACGTGATCAGACTAATTGGCTGCTGTACCACTAGAGCGCCACTTATAGCTCTGTTAGAGCACGCGCCAAGGGGAGACCTACTGTCTCTTCTTTGTGCCGCTAGAGGGAGACGTATCGGTATACAGCGTCCAAGCCTTAAAAAGGACAGCGATGGCAGACCCTCCGAGTGTGAACGTAAGTAATATAATTTTAACTACTGACTTATCCTAATCAAAAAAAAGTCAATATTTTTTTATTGAAAACTGGCTTCTACAAAGCACTTTTTAAAGCTATGATATCACTTAAAAAGTTTCTACTACGAGAAACCTTGAAAAAAAAACAACAAGAAATTCACAAGTTCTTCATAAATCGGTATTCTACGAGACGAACATTCCCTCTTGATTTGATTCCAAGGCATTTAACTTTAAAATTTCCCTTATTCGAGTCTGAACTATGTATATTGAGATGAAATTTGGAGTATTTTCAACCTTTTTGAGCTTTGTGAAAAACTAAGGGCAATTTACACTAGAAATACACGTAGAAAAATTAACTCAAATATAGTCTCCTTGATTAATATTAACCTCATGTTTTATTAGTTATAGACGCCTGTAGTTTTTATCTTAGCAATAATTTTTTCTTGCTAGTAACTCAAATTTTAAGGCGCATTGTAAAAAAAAAAACGCAAAGTTAACGTAATTTCACCAACACCCTTTTTAATCGTAACAGCTGCAAAACTAGAACGGCTGCAGCACGAATGACCATGTTCTCACAGAATACCAGCGTGAAATAGCAGTTAAATGCTTTTTTATTTCGTATCGTTCGTGACGAGAACCGAATAGCCTTTTTTACCGTTGAAGAGGCCTTTATGTTATTTCTCAAGGTTAACATCGCAGTAATAAGATATATGTAGATGTGTGAGCCATAACATCCAATTACCAATCGTTTGTTTGTTTTTTAGCTTTTTTTTATAAAATATCAAATCGATAATTACCAAAATATAAATGCATCCGCAATATAAATTCATCAATGCATCTAGGGGCTTCTTCACAACTTACCACCGGCAAGATTTTAATCAAGCATTGATGTGTAATATGTAAAAAAATTAAGTCATTCTTTAATAATTAGTAACAAAACAATTAGCGTTAATGATGAAAAAATAGTAAAAAAACAGTATTAAAAATATAATAAATAGTTGTTTCTTACGAGTTCTCCACAAAATGACATATATAAATTTAGTAAGCTATCACTGAAGCTTCATAAGGTTAAAATGATAGTAAGCAAATGATAGCTGTGAAGTAGCGGTGTAAGAGAATCTATCCCATATCATGCCGTGATAGTCGCAAGAGGCGACTGAGGGAACTGTGAAAACTGAGTACGCAGCACCAACTTTCCGATAACAATTCAAAATAATAAAAAATCTGCGGTTGCTTACCCGCATGCCAAAGCTTAATAACAATAAAGCGCTTATAAACAAAAGTAAATACTACTCCCCTTATGAAGTTTTAAGATACTTTTAAAAATATAGAGGGGACAGATTTTTATCTCTAGCGATCTTTACTAGCGGCAGTAGCTCATGCTACGCCACTGTCATATTAGAAAGGTTAATGTTTATTAATGGACCAAAAAAAATACTAAATATTTTTTATATTTATTTATTTATATAAAACAATCAAAATAAATTCAAAGTATATAACATTTTTGTAGCAGATTGTTATTCTAAATATATTGACTCATTAGAGACCAACTCTACGCTTTAGAATATTTATGACATACATAACTGTATATAATACAATAAATTAAATTTAAGAAACAACAAATTTTAAACCTATATTATATGGGAAAGAATGTGTATGAGCTCTTTTAAATATCCTGAATGTTCGGTAAAGAATATTCGAGCCGAAGATTTTCATGGATATCTTGTTGTGAAGTTTTTATGTCGAGTCGAAATGTTTTGCTCGGAATTCGGGGATTGCGTTTTGTAGTTTAGCTTAATTTCCTTAAAATATAATCGGAATCTGTCTCATTATGGAGAATTTTTTGTAAATATATCATTCATTTCATTACTATATTCACTTCCTTATTCTGAACTTTGCAGCTGAATATACCAACTTAAGCAACTCTAATCCCACATTATTAGACGAAAAATTATACGGGGATAAAGAGAATGGAAGAAACAAAGACCACTACGTGGCAGAGCCTGCATTACAGTTGGATAGTAGTACGATGAGGGAATATGCTCTGCAAGTCGCCTTAGGGATGCGGCATTTGGAAGAGAGAGGAATAACGCATCGGTAAGTCCGTTTAATAGTTTCAATTCAATAAAACCATATGTAACTTGAATAATATTAAATAAATATAGTACGTGAGGGTAATATGATCATCCAGTTAATATGGTCACTTTCTTATAACTCAAAAATTACAGCGGTCAATCAAATAATAAAGGGTCAAAAGGGCGCTGCTTTATCGACACTATTTTAACAGTTGACCCCATAATGATTTCTTATATTTACGCGAACACTATACATGATTAAAACTACTTTTACGGATTTTATCGCGTTTATTTTTACTTTTTATTTACTTTTATTTTTAATTCCCGACGTTTCGGGTGCTTTCCAGCACCCATGGTCACGGGGGACTGAAATGATTGACGTCCCGAAGTCACTGTTAAACCCGGAGTACCTTCAGCTTTTTTAATTATTGTTTATGGTCCGATCTATGCAAAATGAACTGACTATGTCCTGAGGTCCTGCAGTGGTATGCTTGGGTTTAGTTTTAATTTTATTGATTATAGGATCCCAAGCAGGTGGTAGTACCCAGTCTCCTTCTCTATTGAAATTAGGATGTTTTTTAATTTCAATAGCCTCACATATCATCCTTGGTAGGATTCGGTGTTCTTTCGCGAGGATTTGTGGTCTATCACATCTGATGTAATGGTTGGGGCCGTCTAGGATATGATCACAAACTGCAGACTTCCCGGAACGTTGGTGCTTCACATCAGCTATATGTTCTTTTACACGGGTTCTAATTGAGCTTTTTGTTTGTCCTGTATAAGAGAGACCACATTCACAATCAAGCTTGTACACTCCTGCATCTTGTAGAGGAATATGACACTTGACGGATGGTAGGAACTGACTAATCTTCTTCGGCGGCTTGTAGAATGTTCTAATAGAAGCTCGCTTCAAGATATAGCCAATCTTGTCTGTGACACCTCTGACATATGGTAGTACAGCAGGCACACGCTCGACTGTGGCCGGCTTCACTCGGTCACTGTGACGTAGGCGGGGACCCGAAGCTCGTTGTCGTGCAGAACTTGCTTGACGTGCTGAAGCTCGGCGACCAGGTGTTTGCTGTCACAGATCCCTCGTGCTCTCTGTAACAAAGATTTGCCCACGGTAGCTAACTGTGAAGGATGGTGGTGAGATTCACCGTTAAAATATCAGTTTGTATGGGTCCTTTTCCTATACACAGTGTGACCAATGGTGTTATTAGGATTTCGGCGCGAGCGGATGAAATTAAAGCGTGCGTGAAGCGATCTCATTTGTGTCCTTCAGAGACAAAACTGAGCCTTACCTCCAGAGTACCTGACTCCAGAGACCTTACTTTCAGAGAGTCCATCTCAGGGGAAATATTATTGGCGGACAGTTCTCAGGCGCTTAAAGTAAGAAATAGTGATCCGTACAATTGTTTCCACTGTAAAGAGCTCACAGCTGAAAGTTAACCAAACATTATTAATACTAACGATAAACCTGCGGGATGGTAATGCGAGCGTGCTTTCCTGACACCAAAAGACGAGCAAGCCTCAGTCATAAAAGAAATACTAAATACTTATGAGATCATTCAAAGGGGTCGAATTCGTCGACTCAATGGTAAACACCGATGATGCCATTCACTATCCGATCGAGTTCCTGAATACACTGAAGACTCCCGGTCTCCCAACTCACATAAAAATTGAGAGTTGGCGCGTCAGTTATGTTATTGCTCAATATAAGTCCACCATTTCCAAATTATGCAATGGCACCAGATTGCAAGTGAAAACATTGCATCGCAATGCAATCGAGGCAACTATACTGACAGGTTGTTCTCGAGGATATTTATTCCTAGGATTCCCCTAACACCATCAAATTACCCCTTCGAATTCAAGAGAGTGCAGTTTCCTATCAAAGTCTGTTTCGCCATAACCATAAACAAAGCTCAAGGTCAAACTATAAGGTAGCGGGAGTAGATTTGAGAGAAAGCTTCTACACCCATGGTCAGTTGTATGTGGCATGCACCATAGTAAGCGCATAGAGAAAAAATATTGTTTACAAAGAAATACTGCGGTAGGTGTAGCATTTAGATTTCGTTGTAAAAAGATAATACCCCCGCGTTACTTTCACCATATAAAAGGTCGAGCTTCGTGTTCATAAAATATGACAAAATTTTATATTATTTTCACGTTTATTAACCTTTTAAATCTCTACACTATATTAAATATTGTTATATTTTATAAGTATTCAAACATTTTACACATAATTATTTATATGTTATAACAAAATTAATAACGTAAAAATCAATGAAAAATCTTTCTAGAACCATTTTCTTAAATCAAATCTTTGAACCATTTCACGACACCAATCAACACAACGGATTTTTGGGCCTCTGTCAAATTATGAGATATCCACCGGGCACAAAGCTTCCTGACCGCTAAATGTTCATGGAGGACTTGACTCATACCAATTGCTTGTCCGAATCTGCTGATAAGTCACTCTTTTGTCAGCCTCTATCATACGCCACACAACACTTTATATTTCTCTATTTTTCTGTATCTATATTTTTCTATATTTATTCTATATCTCTTCTTTATTTCTCTACATAATACAACACGTAATAACATATCCTTAAAAGTAAATACGTATTTTAATTTTCTTCTAGCAAATTGGTTTGTGTTGTCACGTATCAACTCTGTCAAGCCCAGAGACCCTGAATTAATTCTTTTGAAACTTTTCTCGTTATTTACTGTGAAATTTTAGAGGAAAATAATTAAACGTAACAAAATTGTATCTTTTATATTGTACACAACCTTTAAAATATATTATTATTTAAAAACTTCAAAACATTAACAAATAAACATTGACATTTATAATCGTTGATTAGCGCTTACTTCTCAAATTATATCAGTATTCATTTTCTCTATAACCGTCTCTTTCTATTGGCATAAAGTAAAGTAGAGCAACTTTATGGCCCTAAAGGAAGATATTTTAAGTAACAAACTGAAATTAAATCCTTCCTGAGGCTATTTTGACGGTATAAAATATGCACGTTTTTATTTTATTTTTTATGATTATTGAATCTTACATTTTGGTCAGAATATATAAACTGAACATACAAAATAGTCTTCATACGTCCAACATCTAGGCTTAGGCTTTCATTTCTAAGAAGCTTATGGAGCATCAGTCCACCGCACTACTCACTACGGCAGCAACGCTTGCTGATCGACACGATGTCTTCTTTTACCGTCGAATAACTGGTAAATCAGCTTTTAAAGTGACGCTTTTATTTGTGCCTGCGGAGATCGAACGTAAGTTGTTCGCTTAAATTAAAATTTACGGTGATAACCCCTGAGCTACAAAGACTCCTTCTAGTCTACGCTGTAGTTACGCGAAAATGCAACGCCATTACAAATGTTAAAAAGAAAATAGGACTAGAGATTTATTTTATTCTTAGTTTTTTTTTTTCAGTTTTATTCCGCTTATGTGTTACGCAATACACAAAGCGCCTGATTAAATATATGAGCAAAATTGTATATCCTCTCATTTTCTGTCAAATAAATTAGGCCGGCAGTAGTTACACAATTTATTTTACATATTCTTTTCATTTGATTATACGTGTTTATAACATTTGTTACCATACTGAAATAAAAAAAACTATAAACTTGCATTATCATACAGTCCTACAGCCCGTGGTGAAGTGTCAAGAACGCTGGTTGCGTTTCCTCTATGAATAGCCCTCTTGTCAGCAGCAGTAACGTGTTATTATATTAGTGTAATTTATATTAGAAGTTAACTGATTCAATAACAGCGATAAAATACTATTTAAAGAGAAAATATTATATTCTTTTATGTTTATTTTCAATCACTATTATACACTCATTAAGTACTATTGCCTAATTGATAAATCTCAACGATAAATAAAAACATATCCGTCCGTGGTTTTTGTTTCATAATTCTTTGGTCTATTATGTTTATTTCGCGACGTCGCGTCGTTTTCATAAACTCTGCCAAATGAAATATTTTACAGCAATATAAATGCTTTTATCCACTGCGGAATATAGACGTCTCTCAAGGAACGCCACAAAGTATCATTCAAAACTAATAATTTAAAACAAGATTTAAAATAAATTGTATCATTTTCGTCTGCAGGGATCTAGCAGCCCGCAATATTTTAGTGGATAGTGCAGGAATACTGAAAGTGGCAGACTTCGGCCTCTCCCGATCTGGAGTGTACGTACACACTCGGGCTAGACCGGTGCCACTGCGCTGGTTAGCACCAGAGGCAATCTTCCACGCACAATACTGCAGCGCGAGTGATGTGTGGGCCTTCGCTGTGCTGCTATGGGAGATAGCTACACTAGGTAAGAACAAATACCACCCACAACGGAAATTAGATTAATTATAGTACGGCCGCTGAGTTATTACCGATTTGACAGATTATTCTTAAATTAATCGATATAACCTTGCACGAGCGACACATTTGCCGAATGATTTAGAATACCTCTTTAATAACTCTTAAAAACTTTATGTCAAAATGTCAGAATCAAGTAATTTTCCAATAAACTCTGTTTCAAAACTTAAAATAGTTTGTAAACGAATATGAAAACATTTATTTTTTGTTCTTTGGCGCGCTTGTACAAAGTTACATCGTGCGTCTAGTTTTCATAGTGATGTGCTTGATAGTATTCGGTCCGAATTCATTGGAATAGATATGATATTTATTTTATTTGGATATTTTTATTTTACTTATTCCTTCGAGCAACTAGACTATAATGCTACCATTTTTTTTGCGTCTCCTAATTGCACTGTGTTGCCAGTATCTCTATGATTTTTAAGATTTATGTGTGATCCAAAGACAGAAATACTGTATTCTATGATTCAAAAATAAATACAATTAAAATGATTATGTATAATTTTTAACATTCATAATATATAAAACAACATTTAATAAATATAATTTTCTCCCTCAATTAAGCAATGTTATAGGTGTATTTTTTTAAGTAATTGGCGATACTATGCTGGCAACACCCTTACCACCGCTATTTTAATCTGTTTAGTCGTCTTCCGTACTCTCGTGCGCACAGACTACATTCTCTTGTGTAACCGTTGTTTTTTGACTCGGCTTTCTCCTGTTTATCGTTGCGCTTTATTGGACTAATTTTGTTTGTGTTTGATAATTTTGTTGAAAATGCCGAAACGAGGAAAAACCTTGAATAGTCAATGTCGTGAGCTTGTACTAAAGCTACAGGATTACTTTGAGCGTGAGTCACAAAATGGCGGCCCTTTGATTCCTGTCACTCAAGTGAAAGATCGGGTTTCACAAGCTCTTGGAATTAGTGCAAAAACACTATATAATATAAATAAAGAAAAATTTGGTGCTTCTGGAAGTGAAGATAATGTTTTACGCACTCCTAAGAAAAAACGAAGACAAAAGCCCGTGACAGGTGTTGATGTTTTTAATGCAGATGCAATAAGAAACCACATATATGGTTATTATACTAGGAACGAGTTTCCAACTAGACGTTTGCTTTTGGTCTCTTTAAAAGAAGCTGGCTTATTTAAAGGTGGTAAAACGGCGTTGTCAAAACTATTGCACGAAATTGGGTTTGAATATAAAAAAACGAATAAAAGGAAAATATTAATGGAAAGATTTGATTTAATAATTAAAAGGAGCGAGTTTTTAAGAGAAGCCAGAAAAATCGAGTCTTGGGACAACGTCGTTTTATTGACGAAACATGGTTAAATGCGAACCACACTGTGTCACGCTCTTGGACTGACGATACAAAAGCATCAACCTCAAAGGTTCCAATTGGAAAAGGATCGTGACTGATAATTTGTCACGCCGGTTCTGCTGGAAGTGGTTTCTTTGAAAATGAACTGCTGGCTTTCGCGTCAAAAAGTACTTCCGATTACCACGAGGAGATGGATACAGACACTTTTACGAATTGGTTCGAAAATCAATTATTACCCAGCCTGCCAGAGCCTTCTATCATAATAATGGACAACGCTTCATATCACTCGAAACAAGTGAATAAAGCGCTTACTCAGGCCGACAAGAAAGGTGATCTCGTAGCATGGCTACACCAAAATGGAATTGAAACTACTGCCGAAATGCTAAAGTCTGACTTAGTAAAGTTGGTACGCGAAAATAAAAAATCAAGAGTCCGTTATGAAGTAGATGAGATAGATCTAGCACATGGACTATGTAGTAGTACAATGTAGTAGTAGACTAGTACAATGCCATTGAGCTAATATGGGCACAAATCAAAGGTATTGTTTTTTATCGCATAAGTTATGAATATGAATAATTTGTACTATTATAACATCCAATATTCAGCATATAAGTAAAAAGATACATAACTAAGAAATAAATATCTCATGTCCCTTACATGTAGGTAATTGTGTAACATTTCGTTTATTTAATGTAATAAATTAACGTTATTTAATGTTTACATTACAGGTTACGCAGCTCGTAATAATACGACTCCGCCATTCAGTACTAATAAAATGATGGGTCTATTAAAAGATGCTTGCAGCAAAATAACGAAAGAAGATTGGGTCAAGGTCGTCGAAAAGACTCGAAAACTAATAACAGAAGATTATGAACGCGATATAAGAGTGGACACCATTGTAGAGAATGAAATTGTCATACAAGTGACTGATAGCGATGACAGCTCTGGCGAATCTGGTTCAGAGTCTGAATAATTGTTTTAATAAATGATAGGTAGTCATTTATTAAAACGTCTTGTACCTACTCTATTCATTAAAATGTGTAACAGTGTTTACAAATTTGTTTTATTTTGATATGTCCTCGACCAATTATCTACGCTCATCAAGAATACTCCACTTAATAAAGAATCTGCGTCTTTAACTATTATTATTTTGATTTTATTTAATTACGCACTATACTAGAATATTTAAAAACAAACTGTTCCCAAATGATATTAGGGTTACTGGTTCAGTCACTTCACTAGTATTGTCAATTCGTCATGTGTCAAATCGGTAATAACTCAGCGGCCGGAGTATAGATACAAAAAATTTACGTTATTTTGGCAAAACCTAAACGAGAAATAGCGACGTTTTCTTCTATATCTGTTGACTAGCTTCAGTCAACTGCTCTGACAGCATGAAACAGAAACGCCATCTTGACATTTTACCGTGGTAAATTTAATGAATGCATGATAAAAGCTTTTGGACGGCATTGTCATGAAGTACTGACTTGTAGCATGCGTTGAACTAGAACATAAAATCCGTAAAATTAGTTTTATTTAAAGAACAATAAAACTAATAAAATAATTTGGAAAATCCAAAAGTGCACACAGTGACAGCGTCGTTCTTCCTTGGTAGATTCAAGCAATTTGTGCTACAATGTAGTTACAGAATGGCTCTAACTCTACCACGTAAATAGTTGTATTAATATCCAATTCCAGGCGGCTTCCCATATGCGGAGCTGAGCAATCATCAAGTACCAATATTCCTGACAGGCGGCGGTCGACTGCCGAAACCAGCGCGCGCCTCTGCTCGACTCTACCAGTTAATGACCGAATGCTGGTCGGAGAACCCCCATGCTCGCCCAACGTTTGCCCTCATAGTGGAGAAGCTTACTGCCCAGAGGCAACTCTACGTGGACCTCGACTGCCTTTACCCAGCATCCGAAGACCACCTGACCCCTTTGAGTGACTACTTTAGCGCTGCGAGTGTTGACAGTGAAACCTTCGGGTAACCCTTCAAAAGACTGATTTATATTTGTTATTATTTATTAATGTATCACAATAAATGTATTTAAATTTTAACATATTTACTGTTTTATTTAAAAGCCATAATATGTGGATGTATATAGTTTACATATGAACAAACTTAATTAAGAACTAAACTAGGCGTCGAATTCCTGAAGTTTTGATACATGATTTGCGTGGTAAAGTCGTGGTGCAGCTATAATATGTGTGCCAATGGACTTGGAAGAACCACGTTTTCACAAAATTTCTGTGAAAATAGCTGCTGAACGTTATAGTACTTTGTCTGGTGAGTGTGGAAAATCGAAGGGTCCTCGGTTTATTTACTGAAAATCAGGCATTACACGCATCATACAGTTATAATCAAGTTACTCCAGTGCCTGTTTGCGGATTTCACGTATCTTCGTGCGTATGCAAATGAGCTGCATTACGCTCCACTGTGAAATATCGTCTGAGAATGCCGATTGTCTCGAAATGAAACGAAGTTGATGCAAGTGGTTGAACAGTTCCGGAAGCCTCTTCGGCTGCTCTCCGGGTGCCAGTAATGAAAGAGTCTGAGTGGCTGCAAACCCGTGGACAGAAGAACAGTTTTTTTACAAACCTACTTATTCGAATTATTATATCTGATTTTATTTTAAAAGTTTGATAAGTATACGATTTTATTTTGACTTAAATGTTTTATTTCTGTTAGGTTTCTAATTGCATTGCCAAAGGTTAAAATGAATATGTTATTTTGTTTAAAGAGTTCTCCTATTAGTAAAAAACTAAAACAGGAAAATGCATGATATGCGCAATGGTGGATGAAGCTAAACATGTATGTATGGATAGGGCCAATTAAGAAAACGGTGTAATTAAATGTAAGATTAGTATTAAAAGTTTATCAAGACAAATTCGAACCCATTTTAACATATTTTAAACTTAAGTAAGGGTTTATTACATTATGAGTAACTGTTCATTAAGTAACTATATGAATAAATAAAATAAACAATGTACGCATGTATTGTTAGTTAGTTATATCTTGTTTTATTTATTATTACCGCAAACGCGATTAAAACAATAACAGGTATTTTAGTGACTTTACAGTACTTTACGCAACACAATTGTAACTTTTAGGTAAAAATGGTCACATGTATATTACATAACGTTTAGTAATAAATGAGTCCTAGATACTTGAAATTAAATAACTAAAATAAAAAAAATAATAGTCTAATTCGTTGATAGATTACATCCAGGTTTGCACAATTTTCGTTTAATGTCAAAACTACTTCTGAAAAGTTTCGGATTTAACAATTTGTATCTGTACAAGGAATTTTTTCTTAAAATTTATTTTTATTTTTCTACAGTCTCCTTGTAACTTCTCCCAGCGATGTTCTCGTCTCTCTAACCCGTCCAAATAGTACTCGGCGGGTGTTTTTTTCTGCAAAATAATTGTTCACGAGGGTAATTGCCTCCTCATTTGACGAAAATCTATGTCCTACATTTTAGATGAGGGAACAAAAAGACGTCGCTTGGGTCTAGATCTGATGAGTAAGGCGGGTGATAAAGCATTTCAAACCGTAATTCGTGAATTTTCAAGATGGCAACCGCTGAGTTGGGAGAGCGCGTTGTCATGGTGAACCAGGTTTTTTATTTTTTATATATGATTGGGTGACAAACGAGCAAACAGTCTAATATAATATATACAGGAAAAATTACTAATATTGGGATACTGTTAAAAAAAGGAAATTAAATAACTTTTGCAACCTCTCAGTTGACTCTCCACCTTTCGAGAGCGTCTTCAACAAACGCAATTAATTTTTCTCACGTGCACAATTAGCATTACATAAAGATGTTTAGGAAATGAAAGACGGTCCACACAGATTGCGTTTGCGTTAATTTAACTTTACTATTATTTCTTCTACTTTAGTATGATTTCATGAAAATTCATTAAGCGTTTTATCATAATTTAATGATAAACATCGAAACAGACAATCTTTCAGATAAGAATTTTTTAATAGGATAGGGTGATTAACGAGCACACAGTCCACCTGGTAAGTGGATGCTGTGACCCATAAACATCTACATCTATCCTCGATTACGAATCAAAATGCAGATGCGTTGTCACCCGTGAGAACTAAGATGGAATGCCTCGTTTCCAGAAAAAAGGGTCTCCGGTTCTCCACACTCACCATACGAAATACAGCAGCATTAAGCTACTATTTTACGCTGGTATACTATGAGAGCGAGGTCCTTCCCCGGTCAAGCCGACCCATTCGTCCTAAAACTATACTACTAATATAACTGCAGCATGACTCTACCACGTATAAACTTTTTCTGCAAATGTGGCCGTATTTCCGCAATTTCTGCCTTCAGTTTGTCAAGTAATGATGCGTAGTATGCTACTGTAATGTTTTCACCTTTGAATATAATCGATTAAGATAACTCCATGAATATCCCAAAAACCAGTGGCCATCACTTTCACTGCCGAAAAATCAGCTCTTGCTTTTATTGGAGCCTGTTGCTCCTTTGCAGTCCACTGTTTTGACCCCTGTTCTCTGAATTTTTGTTTCGGGCGTATAATGATGTTTCCAAGTTTCATCTACAGTAATTAATCAGCGCCAAAACTCGGATTTATAGTGCCTAAACTATATCAACGGAGCGTTGGAAATATTCATTCGAACACGTTTTTGGTCTAACGTGAGTAAATGCGACACTTTCTCATCCCTAAATCTTGATTTAATATTTGATAAACACGTTCTTTCTTTAGCCTCATCTATCTCTCTCCCTTTGATTCGGCGGTTGTCTAGCACCATTTGGCGAACTTTTACGATGTTAACACCAGTAGTTGCAGTTTTTGGACGTCCCGAACATTCATCGTCTCCTAAGCTCTCACCTTAAATTTCACCGTGGTAAATGATAGTGCAGAGTCCCCATACCCAGAGTCCAACTCATCTTTGATTTGCGTAGGCGTATTGCCTTTAAAAAAACAAAAAAATATGACGGCTCGATGCTCAGTTTTTTCCATTTTCACAAAAACACTCACATCGACTCACTCAAACGACTATTAAATAACAACTACGCGTCCAAAATAGCTGAAATTTTGATGTATAACTGTCAAAAGATGCACAACTACATTCATTAGCTTTTATTGTCAAGTGTTGCCAGCTTCACGTTGAGGTCGGAAACTTTTGAGACCACCCTAGTATATTTGCTTATCTAAAAAGTGACTCAATCTTTATTGTATACAATGGCCTACTATTGAATTTAGACTAGCTTTTTCGTATATTCCTCATACCTCTTGTTGCTTGTAATTTTTTATAATGTAAACCTTTATTGTATACAATGATAAGCTGTTGATATAATAATAAGATCAAAAAATATTATAATTAAAAATTATCATATCGCGTTTACGTATTCATTCAATTAAACATAACATAACATAAACACTCACGCCTGTCACCGGAGCAGAGTACTACAGACTTCCATTTGGCACGATCCTGACACACCTCTCTCGCCTCCTTCACGTCCATATACCTACACATACATGCCCGTCGGTTAAGGGTACTCCCAATTCGGCCCGTTTTCAATAAATCGCCAATTTGGTCGATAAATTTTCGCATAGGACGTCCCTTTCCGACTCTGCCATTCACTTCTGCAATATAAATTTTCTTTGTCATTCTTTTCTCATTCATTCTTTCCACATGACCAAACCACCAAAGTATTCCTTTCTTAATCCCGGTCACCACATCATCTTGCGAACCACACTCTTCTTTTATCACACAGTTTATTTATTTATTTATTTATATTTATATTTTAAAAACAGTGTACATGCTGGCTTACAGTTTGTCCAAAACGTCAGCATGCTAATTAACAAATTACAGTTTTAAATAATAGTAATAATACAAGATACATGTCAAAAGGTCAAACAAATTAAAGAATACATGTCCAGTAGATCAACTAAATACCAAAAAAATACATGCCAAATAGATTAAAAGTCAAATAAATTAAGCAAAATGTCACTGTCAGATTGATTACATAAGATAGGATTAAGAGAATACTAATAATATTACAATTTGTCAAAATTGGATGTCAAAAATAGAAGGGCTTTATTACACAGTTGCCCTAAGCTATCAGCAAATAAATCGGTCTCGTTATAATCTGCGAGCATGTCTCCGATAAGCCGTATAGCACGAGAAGTGGGCGCGTGAGCGCCGTACCTGGTGCGCACCGGCGGCTGCCACAGAAGGCGAGGCCGCCGCCGTGGTGCCACCGTCCCCTCCACATCACAGCCCAGCCGCTTCGGAGCCAACAACCCTACTCTACTTAATATCATCGGACTATCTATACGATTATGGATGATTGCTAGGTAGTGTGTTATCAACTGCATAGTTCGCCTAAGTTTAAGCGTGTCCAAACCCACCATACCATTAACAAATAAGGACGGATATAGATAGGGGTAGTAACCGTATTTCCGTTTATATAGCCATCGTGCAAATTTGCGCTGTATTCTCTCTATCATCAAAATATATTTTTCCTCATAGGGATTCCATACAATGGTACCGTACTCAAGCTTACTACGAACATATGCATTGTAAAGTACCAAAGCGACCTCTAATCTATCAAACTGTGAAGAAGTGCGAATAACGAAGCCAAGCAATTTACTGGTCTTTTTACATACAGTAGTCACATGGTTATGAAAGTCAAGTTTAGCGTCTAACAATAATCCTAAGTCACGAATTTCACTTACCCTTACTAAGGGCGTGTCAGATAATTTATATTCTTTTTTTAGTGGACAGCGTTTACGCGTGAATGTTATTATTTTACATTTATTACTATTAAACGGAAGATGATTTAATACACTCCAATCCATAACCGCATCGATGTCCCTTTGCAATGCCTCGCAGTCACCCTGTCCTAACATACTCCTTAGCGACCGCATTTCTACTGCATTTATTATACTCTCGTGCTTCTTCTGCCACACCCAACTTTCACTACCATACGTCAAAG